GAAAAATTTAAATAAATAACCTTAAATGATATTTCATAAGGTTTCAAGCTAACAGCAGCCTGCCTGATGACTTTAGCTTTTATATCATAACTTTTACTACTATTTTTTTTAACTATATGCTCTTCCACATGAAAATCTTGATTTGTCAGTACTAGATTTTTCCCTTTCTTTTCCGTTTGGGGTTGCAAAGATAAATTATGATGAATTTTTAGAAACCCAGTTTTAAATACTACATTTATTTTGTACATAAACTAAAAAATATAATTAAAAAAACTAATTATTCATAATTGTCAATTTCTTATATATTTAACATATTTTTAAACTCAAATTGGGAGGTCCAAAACTCTCAGATGAAGGCAATAGGTCAGTCAAGCACGGAGTGAATAGTTGTTTAACACAATAAAGGAAAATTTTATTGTTTTTATAGAGTACTTAATACAGTACTTCAAAAAAACAGAAATCTTTGCAAAATACTTATTTTTTCAGTAGACTAAACAATCTGAAATTTTAACATACGATCTCGTCGTTGCACTTCATTCTCTATTTATAGAATTACTGTCTGCTATGAACGTTGTATTTGTTTTGTTTTAACCTAAATTGAATTGATTTAACTATTTATTTAAATACATAAGTAATTACATAAAAATTAAATTTAAGACCGATATAATCATTAAATTATCATGTGTCTTTTGACAGGTATCTTATAGTTGTCTAACAAATTAAAGTAAAATTTTAATCTTATTAGAGAGTACCTAATACAGAACTTCAAAAAACAGAAAACTTTGGAAAATACTTATTTTTTCGTGACAATAAAACACTGAAAACTTTGTTTTCAAACTTTCACAAAATTTATTTTAAATCTTATCACTACAGCTGTTTCGGCCAATTGCCTTTCTCAAGTGATCTATTTTTGGCTTGGGTTTTCAAATTTATAGTCTCTAATGAAATAGGTTGAGGAGGGTAGAATTGTTGGTCTTAAGTTGGTCATTCAGAATTATATCTGTATTTTTTAATTTGTTGATTTCCATAGATTCTAACAAAGATAGCTTAAGGCCTTTATTTTGAATGTGAAGAATTTTAAATTTGTCATTAAAAGAATGATTATGATCTAGAAAGTGAAGTGCGTATGTCGAATCTGTTTTTCTATTGAAAGCCCTTTTATGTTCTGCTATTCGTTTATTAAAGTTTCTACCAGTTTGCCCGATGTAAGTTTTTGGGCAGTCGCCACATTGAAGTTTGTACACAGTACTATTTAAGTGTTTTTTTTTTATTTTGGCTCTTGTTATTCAAACTTCAATGTTCAAATTTCAAACTTCTTGTTGTACAAACTTCAATGTGGCGACTGCCCAATATGCCCAATGTGGCGACTGCTCGAAATATGCAATAAAGATGCCACTAACTACTAAAGAGTTAATAGCTTTGTTAGAAGAATACTCAGATTGTGAAAATGCTGACTCACTTAAAGTGTTTTATTTGCCGCCGAGATTAGATAAGAATGTGTCTTATGTAAAAGACATTGATGATAATATTATTTGTGAAGAATCAATAAAATCGGATATTGCAAGTACATATGAAATACAAGTGATTGGTAATTCTGATTATCATATTCCTCTGAACCACAGATAAAACGTCCAAAGAAAAAACCAGTCAAAAATAGTAGATCCAAATTTGTTCTTAAGTATCTGCAACAACAGATACTTCTTCGTGCTGCTTTGTGCTCAGTAGTAATTAAACATCAGTCTGATTGATATTTAGACAATATAAAAGCCAACAATGGAGTCAAGTCATATATTGAAGTTTTTTCAATCTTTTTTAATAAAGAAGCATTCTATATTTAGATAGCATTTCTATCCTGTACATAGAAGCATTTGATAAAGAAGATTGAGAGCTCTATACTTTTGATTCTATACTTTTGAACAACTGTCACGATTTTGAAATAAATAACATAGATTCGTATATTATCTGGTTCACACTCTGCTTCAAGTTGATATACATTGGTCAAAAGATGAAGATAAAGAAGTGCACATTATAAGAGAAAGCATGAGCCGACATAGATTTATATTTATAATTTATAATAGTGAAGAATCGCTACATCAATGTCAAGCTTCGTACATGTACCTCAATCTAAATTTGCTTTACCAGATTTGACAATTGGCCACATTACAAAAGAGACGATAGTGCAAGAATGTAGGATATGCAAAAGTACTACTATTTATATATCTAAAAGGTGTAGAATGCATCTACACCCCGAATGTTTCGAAAATTTTCACCTTACAATTTAATTTACATTTAAGATGAAATATGTTCCTGTATTAAAAATTGTACAGTTTTTCTTGAAAATGAAAAAAAAATCTTTTTTGTTGTAAATTCCAATCCTTTTTTTATATATGTGTTTTTATTCCAGTCTAATAAATTATTTGACAAATTTCTCTTTGTATACTGACCGGCCGTTAACGGGTTAATACTATATAAAGAATAAATTTGCCGCAAATTTACTTTACTTACCTCAAAACTATTTTAAAGTTAATAATAAAGTCTATTTAATAAATATATTCCCACGAGATAGAAAACGCTCCGCCTATGCACATTAGAATTTGGAACGAATAAACATAAACTAAAATATCATATTTCACTCATTAACATTCTTTCTAAGAACGTAAATATATATAGACCAGCAAAGTATTGATATGTTTGCGGATGTTTTAAACTATTCAATAAACTTGTCTCACTACACACTCGTGAACCGCACCAATTTATATTGTTACGGGGGAAAATGTTATGAGGACTATATTACTTTTTCGCTTATTTACATGGGCGAAGTATACGCAATAAAAATGACCCCTGTAAGAATTTACTACTGACATTTTACACGGTTGCCGCTACCGTTTAGTTCAATTTGTAGATTAATCACCTTTAATTGAAATCTGTCCGACTATAGCTCCAGTTCAGTGACTCCGTCTCACTCGTCAGTCTCAGTCGACAGCGTCTGTGTGCTGTTTGTAGCAATCAGTGTACCTAATAGTTATTTAATAACAGAGTAATTGTTTGTGAATTATTTAATAGTGTTGTGTAACAGCTTTGAAAATGGCTAAGTCACTTCCAAAGAAAAGATTGTATTCAGACGATTATATTAAGTATGTTTTTACCTTTTATGGAGAAAAACGGCAGTCATTTACCCCATGCTATTCTTAGTAATGATGCAATGCGCCCGGACGTTTGGGACGGCATCTAATTACAAACCATTCTTCTTATAAAAATAAAGGCCCAGATTTTTTTATTTTGTCATTATATCATATATTGTCAAAAAAAAGCAGCCTAAAACGTATGAGGTTGACTCTACTGCAAATTTTCGTGCTGAAAATGAGAAAACTGTGGAAGCATGTAAGAAAGTAGAAAAAATTTCTTTCTCAAACGACACATTAAAACGTAGAATTGATGACATGGTTCTGGATTTGAAAAATCAACTATTGCAAAAATTAAAAGGTTCACCGTTTTTTTTCTTTGCAGTGTGACGAAACAACTGATATTTCAAAGCATGCACAGTTATTGTTTTATTGTCGATTTATTGACAGAAAACGATTCCGGGAGCAAATATTGTTTTCAATATCTCTTGAAACAACAACTAAAGCCATTGACATATTTCCTGCTCTTGAAGATTTTTTAGTAATCAATGAACTTCTATGGGAGAAAGTAATTGGCATATGTACTGATGGGGCCAAAGCCATGACAGGATGTCGATCTGGATTTATGGAATTGGCAAAAAAGAAGAACCCTAGCATAATTGGTTCTCACTGCATTATTCACAGACAAACTTTAGCTAGTCAGACATTACCTGAACCTCTCAACGTCACATTAAACTTAGCAATTAAAATAGTTAACCACATCAAATCCAGCGCATATAACACTAGGCTCTTTCAGGCATTATGTCAAGAACTGAATAGTGATCAGGAAACCCTCCTGTTTCACACAGAAGTCCGGTGGTTATCCAAAGGAAATATGCTTGCAAGATTATTCAATTTAAAGTCAGAAGTTGAAATTTTGTTAATGACTTCAAAACAAGAAGATCTTCACAGAAGATTTACAGATGATAAAAATATCTTTTACTTGGCTTATTTGTCTGACTTTGTTGAGACACTTAATGTCCTCAATCTGAAGCTTCAAGGCCGTAAAAACCTCTTAAACACTTATGATATGCAATTAAAGGGTTTATAGAAAAAATATCGCTTTGACAATGCCGCCTTCACAGTTCCAAGCCAACTTTTCCTCTTTTCCTAAATTGAACGACCTCCACAATGATATTCAAACCCACTACATCTAGTTTCGGATTTAAAAGACGTCATATCACGGCATTTGGAAGAACTGGAAAATCAAATTCGAAAGTACTTTCGAGATGTTAGCTCGGAAAACTGGGAATTTAAGTTGGCAAGAGATCCTTTTCATATCGAAGTTGACATTCTTCCAGTTAACCAGTTAAAGAGCAGGCAATTGACCTAAAATGTAATTCACAAGCAAAAGCAGATTTTGCAAACATGGGCTTGGAAGAATTTTGGTTAATATACTTTCCTGTTTACCCAGAAGATGTTTTAGTATCTGCGAAGTTATTAGTCCCGGGTTCATCCACATATCTTTGCGAATCTGGTTTTTCTGCATTGGCGTATATAAAATCAAAATATCGTTTAAGACTGGATGTTGAAAGTGACTTGAGGTGTGCTCTGATACAGTTTCAATCGAATATCGAAAAACTTGTCAAGAACAGACAATGCCAAACCTCTCATTGAAAGTGCAAAAACACTCTTTAAACTTTCCAACATATTATTAATTTTTTACGTTTTTTTATCAGTTGTATTTTCTTAAAAGATCAATTACTACTTATTTAACCCTAAGAGAAATGTAAATAAAAAAATTGCTTTAATAACTTCAGTATTACTGAGTGTTAGTGTTTTTTCTGTCACTTAGTATATTTTGCCTCATTAAATACTTACATGTTAAATTTGTTTTAGGATGCAACAAACAACTTGTGAAAGATCATTATTTACCAAATAACATCCAATCTTTACACATAAATAAACTGAAGAAAGCAGTATATCTAATTTGTGATAATTTTGGTCCGGAAGAAACAACAACATTTCTGAAGTATATGAGACAAAATTTTATGCGTAGACATGTCCCATTTGATGAATTTGGCATAGACCACAATCTTGAAGTTTATTTCTTAAAGTGGGAGAGCATCAGACAGCTTAATTTTGAAGAAATCAAATCGACTTTAAAACAGATGGAACAATATCGGCTGTATGATATCCTCTGTAGTGCTCTAACTGAGGTAAAATATTTTACAATATAATTTATTGATCACTTTTTTTACACACATTTGTAATCATTGTGTACCAAAACATCAAGGAATATTACCCAATGTTAAAAATTAATACCGTGTGCTTTCAATTTGAAACAGTTTTAGGTATATGTATGAAAAAATAGATAACCTATGTGTGTACAAGAAGAAGAAGTGTATTGTCAAAAGTACCAAAATAGCCTAAAATGTAAAAAAGATTTTCTTGTGCCATAGTAATACCTTTTCGTTTAGTCGGTTATTCTTTGTATGAATAATCTTATGGTTCAATTAATATAGTAGCTGATTTTTGTAACATATTTATTATCATTCGTCACACAAAGTGGCCAGAGAATCTCCAAAAAGGTGCATTGTATCATTGACGAGATGTAATTTTTTGCGTAATTCTTCTAAGGGTGAAGGCATTAGAAATTTTTGGACTTATATCCGGAGCATAACTTTATATATTCATATATCCAAAGTATTAATCCATTTTTGTCGGCAGAGGATGCAATTATTTAATTATAAGAGTTAAAAAATGGTTAATATTACGATGAACGTTTTTTAAACGAAATATTAAACCTTAGTAATTAGAAATAGGCTAGGCCTAGACAGCTAAATCATATAATTAGAAATAGGATTCTGCGTAAGAAGGTGACAACTAATAATATTACAAAGTGTGTGCTAAAACTAGAATAAAATTTGATAAAATGAAAGGCAGATATCGAGCACAGTTTTATTAATTCAATCTTGCCCAAGACTTTCGATTCCTAGAGCATCTTCAGGGGCATTTCGTCAATTTTGGACTATCCAACACTCGCAGAATGTCATAAACATAAAATTGTACGAGAATTTGAACGAAATTGTAAGAGAATAAAAGTCTGGAAGTCCTGAGAAGACGGCTAAACAATGAAAAATGTGAAATACACAAACTAAAGAACAAAGAAGGAGTCCCATATCAAATAGAGAAGAACTACTATACATAGTTGAATATTTCTATCAAGAATTATACACAAATCAAAGAGAAGACCAAATGAACTTAGGAGCCTCCGCATCACGCAAAATCATCAACCAGGGTTCAGAGCTCATGTCAGAGATCACACTAAGCGAAATCCAACACGTAATAAAAGATGAAAATAAAAGATGAAAAACTACAAAGCACAAGGAGAAGATAGAGTCGTAATAGAAGCTATAAAGATGGGCGGACGTGCCCTTTTCAACCAAATTAAAATTTTGTTTAACCTTTGTCTAACAGATTGTTGCATACCGGAAACATGGAACAATGCAGTAACAATTTTTCTACACAAGAAAGGAGACAAGGCGCATCTAGAAAAGTATAGACCAATCAGCTTATTGAACCACATCTATAAAATGTTTACCCGAATAATTACAAGACTAGAAAACAAGTTGGATTTCTACCAGCCCCAAGAACAAACTGGCTTCCGCTCAAAATTCGGAACAAATAACTACAAACCTACAAACAGTAAAAACCATAATAGAAAAATCGATAGAATATCAGAATAACAGATCCCTGGTACGTATCTTTGTAGACTTTAAAAACTTCGATACGGTGGAATTAGACAGCATTATAACTGCTCTGAACAATAGTAGAATAGACTACCAGCTTACAAAGTTAGTACAAACGTTGTACCAAAACGCCACAATGCGTGTAAAACTACATGATACCACCAAAGAAATTCATATGGGAAACCATATACAAAGGCCCATGGAAAGATTGATTCTCGACGTGACAAAAAAAGACACAATAAGGAACCAAGACCTAAGGAAAACAACAGGTATGACTGACGGCGTCGAACGTATAGCCAAGCTGAAATGGGATTGGGCAGGTCTTATAGCGAGACTAAAAGACATACAGAACCGTGAAAAGTGGCGAAAAATGGGAGAGACCTATGTCCAGCAGTGGACAGAACAGGTTGCATGATAATTATTTGGAATAGTCCGGTTGTGGAAGTATTGAACAACTTCCTTAGGTTTTAAAGATAAAAGATAGTCTTCTCCCTGCTCCTCTCTTTCCAAATACCTTTCCCTGAAGAATGAGTTGCAATAAGCCATATCTGTGTTCATTTCTCATAACATGGCCAAGGTTGTATGATGATGATGAAGTTTTTGATAAACGAACATGTATTTTAATATATGTATTATCTGTTGAACAGATGAAATTGACCCAAAGCCCTCTAATCATTTTTTCTATTTCATTAATTCTAAATATTCCAACAAATGTAACACACGTTGTGCTTGAGCATTTAATGGTTTAACTGACATAATCTAAAAATAAAAACCCTTAAAAATATTTCATATCACTCCGTTGACGTGGTTTATCCATATTTTAACAACTAAATTAAATTTAGAGGTTAGAATAAATATTATATTATTCGTCATTAGCTAATAAATAAATTCTTACTCTAATAAATAGATCACGAAGGTAATTGCCAGAAGGTGAATCAATCACCGAGCATCGTCATATTGCTGTCTTTGTTCAACTTTTGTTCGATATATGCTGTTACAGACGGCTTAAATTAATCGTTTTCAAATGGTTTTGAACCTTTTTTCTTCTGACATGTCTATATCATATTATCCCGTTAAGTTGTTGGATACATATTTTTGTCTGTATCAAGGTGGTCTCATTTTTGAAAGTGTAATCCTAGATACTCAAAATTTTTCACTGGTTTTAATTTTCTTATTTTCGTCCTTTTTCAGTCTTTTTACTGATACCTATTCTTATTCTGTTTTTCGTATCTTGTTCCAGTTTTCGGACAAAATAAGCTAGATCTTCATCTTGGGCAGTTACAACTTAGTCATATGAAGCTATTCCTGTCTGGTATATATAACTTTACATTTTGTTTTCGTTAGTATTACAATTCGTCGGGAATTCTTCTTTTTACAGCTTCTATTAATCCATGAAATATTCCAATTTCTTTCATAATTTTTCATACTTTTTTTCTCTGAACTGTGTCATACGGCTTTTTTAAGTCGTCGAATTCAATGGACCGGTTTAGTTTTGGCTGTTTTCTCAATTATTGGTGTATTCATATGCGGTCTGTGAAATAACTCCCGGCTATAAATACCGCTAGGTTTTTTCCAATTTTATTTGAAATGATACATTTTTCTTTTGCTGTGACATTAATGCCCATTTAATTTTCGCATCTTTTATCTCCTTTTCTTATATATAGAGGTAAAATATGCTTTGGATCATCTGGTTTGTATTAATAATTTGCAGTTCGTTTCTTACATTATGGCTGTATATTAGACAGTTTTGCGGCACTTTCCTTGGTCTCTGCAAAACTGTTTCCGACTCCAATTTCACATTACTAGTAATTATATATATATATATATATATATATATATATATATATATATATATATATTTTAGTGGAGGTATATTAATTTTTTTACTACGTAGAATCTTAGGATGATGATTACAGAGTTAGGTATATCTATGATCATAACTTTGTTTTTTTTTTAATTTAATTAATTTTAATTTAACATTTATTCTGTATTTAATTTTTAGACAACCCCTGGTCTACCAGTACAGAGCGTTCAGCTAGAAAGGAATATTTCCCCCGCAATAACTGCTAGTAGTTACGAAAGTAGTCTAAACTCTGAATATCCAAGAAACCGATTATTTGTGGGGGATGATTTCCAGGGCGAACCAGTTACACGCGCCCGGAAGCCATCATCTGTCACCAGTATAGACAATCAACAGGCTCAATCATCTAGACACCGCATCGGAAATCTTCCCTTAAAAAACATTGCTTTGGAAGATATTCTACGTCTCCCTAGAGAAAATTACTTCAGAGATTTTCAGCAAACTTTCATTCCAGATATTAAAGAAGATGAAACAAGCGAAAAAATAACTCTCGATACATATACAATTGATCCATCCCGACCAGGTGTAGTATTGATCATCAATCAAAGAGACTTTTATACTGCCGTAGAAGAAGAATACCGAGTAAGTATTTAACGTTCACCAGCGCGTGTTCTTCCAATTCAAACTTAAGATTTAGCAAATACAAGCTCTTTGTATAGACACGCACGCATATCTACTGTAAGAGCTTTCTTACTTATTACTCTACATTGCCAAAGTATAAGAAAATCCTGACTATTTTAAATCAAATAGATCACATAATTATTGCAAAAGTATTACCATCTCTTTACAACGACTATTTAAATTCTTACGGGACATTTTTTAAATAAAACACACTAATTTTGTTGTAAAAAGAACAGATTTTATTAAATAGGTAAAAATATAAAACAGGAGGTATTCACTTCACTCACAGTTCGAGTACAGTTACAGTGTGTTCCGAACAAATGTTCTGCATAAAAACGCTTTATAATGCATTTATACAAATTAAATGAAACATATTATTGTGTATTTCTTTAAGTTAACATTAATAGAAATTTTTAAATATTATTTCTACGCGTATATAATAAAATATGTCTAGTGGCTGTAATGCCAGTGTACTCGGCAAAGTGATTCTAAAAAAGAACACACCTACCGCATAAATATTTCGTGTTGGTATCATGTGACGTCATCGGGCTATGACGCCGATGACGTGCGTCGGTATGTAAATTAGATGAAGTGTTATTACTCTCTATTCAATTCGACAAAGGTATATTTGAGCTTAAAAATTTACAGAAATCATGGTGAAATATTTCTTCTTCACTTGATTTTAGATTAGTCAATTAAAAACATTTAGATATCGAATCTTGCTTGTTTCTCCCGATTTTGATTATTTTTTTTGCTCGTATGTAGTGCAATTTTGTAATGCAGAACTGTTCAGCTGTGAAGCTTTTCTCGCATGGTATCTGCAAAAAAATCTTTTAGTATGTTAACGGACTTATTTTTGGATTGAGAGATATTTAAAGCAGTTATATGTGTCACAAACTTACTTAAAAATAGAAAGTGTATGTTTTTTAGTTTTCTGGTTAGTTTAATTTAATTTAATGGCATTTCCATTATCTGCGTAAATTCAACCATTAAAACCAGTGCCATATAATCCAAAACACATTAAGAGGCCTCAGTAGGTTATTAATTCTTGGGAATTGTTACAAAAATTCTTAAGGCTATGACTTTAACTTTGAGCGCCTTAGAGAATTCAAGTATCTTGGAACAACAATAACTGAAGACAATAATGGATCACAAGAAATAAACAATATGATTCCGGCCGGCCGGCAACAAATGTCTTTTTACCCTCCAAAACCTTATAAAATCGAAACAACTAACAAGACGTACGAAGATACAGGTCTATAAACAATCATACGACCCGTTGTGATGTATGGAAGCGAAACGTGGACGATAACAAAGGCAAACGAAGAGAGACTATGTGTTTGGGAAAGAAAAATCCTAAGGAAGATCTTTGGTCCTGTATTGGATGAAGCATCAGGACAATATAGGATAAGAACTAACAAAGAGCTCGAAGAACTTTACCCAGACGCCAACATCATAAAAGAAATAAAGTCCAGAAGACTCCAATGGGTAAGACACCTCAGAAGACATTCTGACGAACGAACAATAAGACTGGTGTGGAAGGAAGTCCCAACTGAAAGGAGACCACGCGGACGCCCTCGTCTCCGGTGGCGAGATAATATAGCAGGTGACCTAAGCACTATGGGCGTGGAGAATTGGATGGAGGTTGCTTAAGACAGAAAACAGTGGAAGCATGTTGTCGAGTCGGCTAAAACCCACGAAGGGTTGTAACGCCACGGAGTAGTAGTAGTAGTAGTAGTAGTAATTGTTACTTTCTACATTTAAGTACCTACCTACGAATCTTTAATGGATAAGAATTAAATTATTTTGGAATAATCAGGTATGGAGGTATTGTAACAAATTAGAAGTATGTTGTTCAGGATAGAGATCAATGAAAGGAGTTGCTAGCAGCCTATGTCCAAAAATGGACGATAGAAGGCTAAGAAGAAGAAGAAAATGTATTTGAACAACGAATTAACGAATAAATTCGTTCTGCAAACGTATTATGTGCAAAATAAAGTAGCCAGTTTGATTTCGTTACAGCGTACCACCATTCGTTGATATGCATATTTCTGCCTCCTGGTTTCATCAGAGCGAAGTCAAACGTTTAGAAAACACAGATTTGGGATTCTTAATTTGATTTCCGATTTATATTCTCATTAGTAGATGTCGCTATAACGCCTGTTTGTAAATATTATTCAAATATTTACTTTTATAGTAGGAAAAGGTTTTATTTCGTTAGATATTACCATGAATTCGCTCTTATGAAGCCAAGAGACAGAAATATGTTTATCAGCGAATGGTGGTACACTGTATCAAAATCAAACCCCAACTGTCTATTTTATTTTTATTATTTTACTCTAGTATAGTCGTTTTCACGAAGGGATTTTTGCTTAGACGAATTGACATGACGTGGATACAAATTATAAATCTCCAGCCAGTTCATTCTTCTTCGCATTATACGTCTTCTCTCGTATTATATGCACTTTTTTTAAATGTCTAGTATATACCATATCGTGTACAAAAAGTGTACAAATATTGGCATTTGCAGATGATGTTGATATCATAGCTAGAAGGGAAAGAGAGATGATAGAAGCATTTAATGCGATAGAAAGAGCGGCTTAAAATAGTGGCCAAAACATTAACGAAATAAAAAACCAAATACATGAAGGTCAATAAATCGACAGGCCAAAGAAACTTACCGACAACATCACAAGAAAAACCAAATAATGCAAAATATACGAGACCCTAATAAAACCAGTCCTTGTATATGGATCAGAGACGTGGACACTGTCGAAAAGCGATGAGAACCTATTAGGTACATTTGAACGAAAAATCCTTAGACACATATATAAGGGGGTTAAGGAAAATGACGTATGGCGCAGAAGATATAACTTTGAACTATACACAGCATACAATGAACCCGAAATCATAACATCCATAAACATCGGATGACTGCGCTGGATGGGCCATGCTGAACGTATGTTGGAGACTGAAACGCCAAAACATATAATGAGGCAAACACCAGTAGGTAGAAGGTCAAAGGGAAGACCCAAACTTAGATACGTGGAACAAGTGGAACAAGATCTGAAAACACTCAAGAAAACCAACTGGAAAAACAAAGCAAAGAACAGAACAGAATGGCGGAAAATCCTAGAACAAGCTAGGACCCAGAAAGAGTTGTCGAGCTACTGATGATGATGATACCATATCGTCGGTGTAATTCGCATAGTGCGTAACTCCATTTTATAAAATTTTACAGAAGAGCAAAACAAATAATTTTAATAACTTGTTACCAATTGGCAAGAAACTACTTTTTACAACTACTAGTCAATTCAGATAGAATTTGAATGTTCTATTTTTGGTTTTTAGATGAAATATTGTTTTTGTTTTAAATAAAATTGAAGATACGCTTTTTGCGAACTAATATTTTGAAAGCAAAATGGAAATACGCATTTTTCTAAAAAACAGTTTATTTATTTTTTAACACAAATAAATCAGTAACATAAGGATGCCGATATTCATATTTTTTTTCTTAATGGAAATTCTACCTCTGAATAATGCAGGCAAAGAGACAAAATCTAAAAATTTTGGATTGACAGGTAATCTGGCAGGAAAAATTTTCCATTCCAATTCAGAATGTCTAATTTTGTAAAATATATTTTTGTTTGTATATTTAATTGCCTTTAGGTCAACTACCTAGGGATCTCCGATTTTTTTCCAGGTCGTATTGATGAGGTAATAGATAGCCTAACCGAGCTAGTAGCAGCAGCAGAACGAATGGGGTTACATATAAATCAAAATAAAACCAAATTCATGGCGACTAACACAAACACAAGAGCTGGAAATGTTGACACAAATTTAATCATCAATGACCAAAACTTCGAAGCAGTCAAAGAGTTCATATATCTACTGACATCGGTTAACCCCAATAATAACACATCTGAGGAAATAAAAAGGCGAATAATAATTGCAAACAGGTGTTATCATGGTCTATCAAAGTACTTAGCTAATAAACGTCTGTCTCAAAAAACTCGTAGTATAAGGCTGTATAGAACACTGATAGTCCCCGTTCTCACATAATGGATCAGAGGCATGGACGCTAACGAAAACAGATGAATCCGCTCTATACATTTTTGAAAGAAAGGTGCTACGCAGGATATTCGGAGCGGTCTGTGAGAAAGGAATATGGAGGCGTAGATATAACTTTAAACTGCAGAATATCTACAAGCATACGTTTGGTGGTAAAGATATTACCACTATAATTAAGCGAAACCGCATGCAGTGGGCAGGACATGTAGCCCGGGCCCCTGAATCGAACATGATAAAAAATATTCTAACAGCGCAACCTGTGAGAATGAGAAGACGGGTTAGACCAAAGCTTAGGTGGATGGATGGGGTAACACAAGATGCGGAGAAGATCGGAGTCGGCAACTGGAAAATTCAAGCAAGGGACAGAACAGAATGGCGTAGAAAGCTTGAGAAGCCGAGGCCCTCTAAGTCTGTAGCACCAAGATGATGCTGATGATGATTGATGAGATAAAATTTATATTACCTTCAATGTTTTTTAAAATGCTGTTGCGTTCTGTTCAGCACAATAAAATGAATTAGCAACAAATGTAAAATGTTCTTAATAAAGTTCAAAAGTTCAAAATCGCGACACAATATGTAATAATTTGCTTTAGCCTTTAAAACCGCTGTGTTACAAATGTATATATATATATATATATATATATATATATATATATATATATATATATATATATATATATTTGCGAAATTGCAACACATAAAGCACATTTAATCGAAGATTTTTACGATAAACTTCAAAAACAACTACTGACTTGCGTCAACCAATACAAATGGCTGGAGATAGGCATTCTGCTTGTCAATAATTTGATGCATGGAGTTAGGCATTTTTCTGTGACGTCTTTTATTGCAAAACGGTAAATGCTGCGGTGGTGGGTGTTTTTCAGGCTAAATATATGGTATCGTTGTACCAGATGGCGCAAAAAGTCATATTTGAAAAAAAAAAAAAAAAAAAAAAAAAAAAAAAAAAAAAAAAAAAATAGAGTTACGCACTATGCGAATTACACTAACGATATCCAAAAAAAATGACAAAAATATATAAATGCATATGCACTTTTTGCCTATATGCCCGACTCCGGCAATAATATTAAGTATTTTGTTATTTATCCCACTACTTATATTTTTAGCATTTGCTACCCCCTAATGGCGAAAAATTTGATGTTAGAGAAGGTACTGACTTAGATCGGGAAAAATTGATAGGCACATTTAAACGACGTGGGTTTGAAATCCTTGTTGCAGACAATCTTAATCATATTGACATGTTAAAAAAAATTAAAAATACAGTGAATGAAACTACCGACCAATCCAGCTTATTTGTCTGTATTCTGTCACACGGAAATAAAGGTAAGTAATTTTGAAAGTAAGTAAGTAAAAAGGAAGTACTTTTTAAATGAATTATATTGGGTATTTTTAACGTACGAGGATATTTCCAAAAGTATCTGACTTAATAAAGCAATTTGTAAAAACCGTCTTCATTTCGAAGACTAGAATAGGAGACGTGAGAAACCACTTTAAATATATTTTTGATGAAATCCTTTTTTTAATTTCATAATGTAATAGTTCAAGTTATTGCAATACGTTTGCATTCTATTTACTATTAAATACTTGTAACAATAAAACACTGAAAACTTTGTTTTTAAACTTCCACAAATTTTATTTTAACCTCTTATCACTACAGCTGTTTCGGCTGATTGCCTTTCTCAAGAGATCTATTTTTGGCATGCATTTACACTTTATAGTCTCTATTGAAATAGGTTGAGGAGGGGAGAACAGAATTATATCTGTTTTTTTTTAATTTGTTGATTTCCATAGATTCTGACAAAGATAGCTTAAGGCCTTTATTTTGAATGTGAAGAATTTTAAATTCGTCATTAAAAGAATGATTGTGATCTAGAAGTTGAAGTGCGTATGTAGAGTCTGTTTTTCTATTATTGAAAGCCCTTTTATGTTCTGCTATTCGTTTATTAAAGTTTCTACCAGTTTGACCGATGTAAGTTTTTGGGCAGTCGCCACATTTAAGTTTATACACAACACTGGTAAGTGTTTTTTTTATTTTGGCTCTTGTTGTTTTTGATATATTTGCCTAGGTTGTTATTTGTTGTTGTTATTTGTTATAATGGGCAATCCTCTAAGCCCATTGCTATCAGATATTTTTATGGATCATCTAGAGACAAAGATTTCAAAACATTCCGCATTTAAACAGTTTTTATATTGGAGGAGATACGTAGACGATGTACTGGTATGTTTCACGGGAACTAACAGGCAACTCGATCAATTTTTATCGTATAATAATTCACTTCATAGTCATATTGAATTTACAATAGAAACAGAACAAAATCAATCCATAATTTTTTTAGATTTAAAAATTATCAGACTTAAAAACAAACATGACTTCTCCATATTTCATAAACCTACCGATTTTTTCGAATGAGCTGTTTTTTTAACATACCTAATTTCTGAGCCTCGTTTTGCATTAAAACTTTATTAAAGGTATATGTAGATAGAATATTTTGTTAAATCACGATAATTTTAATAATTTAATTCATGTATTTATGTAATTTATATTGTTCCTGCCGTTGCTATTTTGTTATAATTATAGTTATTCTCAGACCCCTCTTTCAGTGCATCATTAATTATGACGTCATATAATGTATTGGATGTTTCGAAAATTATTTCATGTAATTATTGACGAATCTGACAGATTCCAGGATTGTACTTAGCCACAGGTGAAAAGCTTATGGCATTAAACCTCTGTCTCCAGTAAGTTGTCGTTCCATCGTTGTCGGGGTCTTCCTACTGATCGTTTTCCTATTGGGGAACCGTCTCTTGCCGTCTTTACTACTCTATTTGTTGCCATTCGGCTTATAGGATTCCATTCTACTCTTCCATTCCTTACCCAGTCCTTAATGTTCTCCACCGTGCATTTACGTCATATATCTGTACTTCTAGCTCTGTTCCATAGTGTGACACTATGAGACTTTTTTAAGTGTTATAATTTAATTTCTCCATATTGTTTCATTCAGGCAACTTTCGGTTCTCTTTGCTCTATTCACTTGATCTTCCACTCTGTTTCGAGCTTTCCTAGATAATGTGATGCCTAGATATTTAAACTCACTCACTTGTTCTATTATCTGACCTTCCAGCTCCAATTTATATCTTGGTGAATTTGCAGTTATAACCATTCATTTTATCTTTTTTTGGGGATATTAACATGTTAAATTTTCTGGCGCTTATATTAAATTAGTGCAGCATACGTTGTAAATCATCTTCACTCTGAGAGAGTAGTATTGCGTCGTCTGCATATTTTAAGTTGTTTTTCTCCCATTTGGTATCCCTTTCTAGTTCTTTTACTTATACTTTTATCGTGTTATTTTGGTAGATATTTTCAATTGTTTTGATTATTCCTAGAGGTATCTCTCTTGCGTACCATAAGTGGATAACGTCCTTTAATTTGACCCCCTCAAATGACTTCTTAAGGTCCACAAAACATAGATATCCCGGTTTGTTGTATTGTATTGATTTCTCTTGCACTTGCCTCATTATAAATATAATGTCGATGCAGGATCTCTCCGATCTAAAACCTTTTTGTTCTTCTGCTAGTGTTATAATTTCATTCAGTTCACTTTGGTTGTTAACTTTAGTGTTGTGTTTAATAAATTAATTCCTCTGTAATTTTCCGGGTACTTTTGTTTTCTAGTTCTAACTAACCTAAATTTAAACTAACCACCCTTGTGATTTATAAGTTGACTTACCCTAATTACGATTTTTTCTATGACTGAATATTACGATACGATGATTACGAATCTAATTAACGATTATATATCTGCTGATATTTTTAGGTGTTGTTTATGGCTGTAACAGTTGCCAAGTTAAAGTGAGCAAGATACAAGAAATAATGTCAAACAAGAATTTTGACCAAAAACCGAAAGTTCTGATCCTGCAATCATGCCAAGGCAGGCAATGTCTTAAACGTAAGTTTTTCCAACCAATTTTCAATTCCAATTTTCAATAATCCGCTGAAGTTTTGTATTTTATAAATACAATACTGTATAAATGACTGTATAAATGAACCCTCCTCTGTTCCCAGTACCAGTAATGCATTCGTTAGTAAGCCGAGTAGTAGTGTCTGGGAGCTGGGGAGACTGAGATCTCGGAAGCCTTGAAGAAGACATCAAAGAGGATGTCGAAAGCTCGTCGGAATGATAATCGACACGGTTCAACCCGAAAGATTCAACTGTTAAGAGTTTAATATTAATTCTTGTAATAATATTAATCTTAGCTCCAGGGTTAATATATATATATATATATATATATATATATATATATATATATATATATATATATATATATATATATATAGAAAAGAAATTTATCTTTGCAGATAAGTTAAATAGTAAACTTTTAAATATTGGGGAAATCTGCAAGAAAAACTCTAATGTGTATCAATTGTTTCGCCGAACGTTTTCGCCAAAGAGAATTAATTTGGCTTCTTCAGGCTGAAAGAGAATAAATTATAATTAGCTACCATATATTATCTAATAAAAAACATTTACCTTACCGTAAATTTTAGAAATGTCGAGTTATGATGTTAAAAAACTTAGCTAGTAACAACATAGTGGTGTTTTTTTGTTACTATGTGCAAAAAAGTTTTTTTGTTAACGTTGGAAATGTATGGTAGCTTTGAACTTAAAACGCAAAGGTTTACCCAAGGTTAATCGAAAAACCCAATGTAACTACTTTTAAAGGAAGTAATTCTTTGAATTGTCGGCAATAACTAAATTTTTGATTGTTATAAAGTTTGAATGGAGGTTCTGTTTACATAGAACGCAAGCTCTGACAATTACATGTAGTGCTTTTGAATATTTATGTCGTTAAGGTTCATTGGTAAAACCGATAAAGTTAGATCCCAGTCTGGGGAGATATTAGTTTAGAATTTTCTTAATTGAAATTCTTTTTTAATTAGTATATTGTTCATGTATTATTATAATAATATCTTATTGAGATGTATCTAAGAAAAGCAAGGGAATGTTATCTTTTTTAGTTAATGAAAATTATTATTAAAGTAGGTTAGTTGTTATTAGATATATAAGTCAAGTTAGTTATCTGTGATGTTTGTATTGTTCTTGGTATCTGATTTAAGTAAGAAGTGGTATATATCGCTTAGATTCTTAATGTCACTCTTAACATTGATGGAAAAATCGTTAAGGAAAATATAAGACATTTCAATGAACTCTCTTTTAGATTTATTGTTCTCACGGTGGAGAATTGTAGTGTTCGTATAGTCCATGTGATGACCAGTGGAATGGACATGTTTGGCTAATGCACAGCGGTCAGGGTGAAGTCAAGAATCACTTTTGTGTAGTGTAATACGTGATACGTCAATAATTGAGATGTTTGGCCGATGTAGGAATTGCTGCAAGAGAGGCATGGAATGTTGTAGATAATATTACTAAGCCTATCTATGGGAGTCTTATCTTTTATCTTCGAATAAAGATTTTTAATTGTTAGGGCTGATCTACAAGTCACATTAAGTTTAATGTTATTATTAAAGCTATTTTCAACACTTTTTAGAATCCTTGTTAACCCCGGAGTGATATCTCTGAAATAGGGTAATGAAAAATATTTATTGATAGGAGAATCCGAGACTGGGTTCCCACTTAAAGACATCAGGATCAGCATTGTTAGTCACGATGGAAGGTGAAGTATCTTCGTTATGGATAGTGTTACACAAAATCTTATTTACCAATGGTGTTGGATAAGAGTTTGAAATAAAAAGTTTCTGAAGGATTTGTAGGTTTTTTGTATGAAATGAAGGATCTGATAGTTTAATTGTCTATTTTTCATCTGTTTGATTAAGTTGACTTTGGTAGAGTTATTATGGTAAGAGTGGTAGTTAAGGTATCTACCAGAATGGGTCGGTTTTTGATACCAATCTATTTTAATGTTGTTGCTTTCTCTAATCATCCTTATGTCGAGAAAGGGGACGGAACAATTACCATCTTCCCTCTCTATAGTGAACTGGATGTAGGGGTCATAACTATTAAAGGTGTCTAATAGTTCATCTACCTTGTCATTGGGTATAGCCAAAATTATATCATCAACATATTTTTTAATAAATGGAATTTGAAAGGATAGTAAAGGAATGACTGAGTCTAACACATATTCCATAACGTAAGTTGCAATGATAGGAGAAATCTTTGCTCCCATAGGGGTACCGAAAGTTTGTTGATAGAATTTACCTTTAAAAGAGAAGTAAGTGTTATTAAAGAGAAATTCGACGATACTGATGAATCTGTCATAAGACATGGAACAACAACCTCTAATACGGTCCCAGTTGATCTCTATTGATATCAAACATATTCCTAAATGAACGTTGCTGAATAAGGATACAACGTCAAGGCTAACGAGGACATAATTAGATGGTAATATGTAACCATTATATTTATTTACCATCTCAAAAGAATCTTTGATGTAATATTGAATTTTAATTCAATTTAAATTCGCCTTGATGAAACTTGAAACTTGAAATGAAACTTCGCCTGATGAGATGTTACGTACTTTCTGTGCTGTTCTACGGAATTGAGATATGGACGTTAAAAAAGATTGATACCAAAAAATTAGAGGCATTTGAACTTTGAACTGTGGATGTATCGCAGAATCCTGAGAATATCATGGACCGAGAGAGTCACAAATGTCGAGGTCTTGAGAAGAATGAATAAAGAAAAGGAAATCATATTTACGATCAAAAAACGAAAACTACAATACTTGGGACACATTACAAGAGGCGAAAGATATGAACTACTTCGAATAATTATGCAAGGGAAAATAGCAGGAAAAAGGTCCATAGTAAGAAGACGAAACTCCTGGCTAAAGAATCTACGGGAATGGTATAGCTGTAGCAACAACGAATTGTTTCGGTCAGCAGTTTCGAAAATATGTATAGCCCTGATGATCGCCAACCTTCGGAACGAAGATGGCACTTGAAGAAGAAGAAGAAATGTTTTCATGCATTATTTTATTTTAGGAGTGTAGCGAATTTCCGTTTAAGTCTTATTTCTTACGAGTTAAAATACTCGTACTTGATTTTTATTCGGTTCCAAATATTTCTTCTTTTTTGGTCTAATTTGGTACAAATATGGTAATCTTTAGGTACAACATTACAATGGCTCTTCTAATAAACTTTTGTTTTCGTAATTATTCATTCAATACTTTTTTCTAGTTGACTCGAAAAGTGATGATGATGATGATGTCTCCTTAACAACCGATGGTGGGGGGTCAACATATCGTGACATGTTAACATTTTGGGCAACGTATCCCGGATATGCAGCCATAAGGAACAAGTTGACGGAACTTGGTTTATCCAAAATTTGTGCCAGACAATACAAGAGGATGGCGATGAGTAAGTATACATTTTTAGAGTTTCTATTATATTAAAGATTTTTCGATATACTCGGTCCATTGGTTTTTTGCACCATTCAATGTATACAAATAAACTTAATTAAATCATACTTATGTTTGACTGAACATTCTTTTTGTAAAATAGCTAATATCCCAATTAAAAAACAATACTTTATTAATAATTTGTCAATTTTAGACAAAGCTACAACATACTGCTCACGTTTTAATATTTCTCGTCTCCACTTTGATTTGTCTCCAACAACTTTTCTACTTCTACCTCTCTTCTTCTTCTTACGGTGCCTATTCGTTCCGGATGTTGGCGATCAACATGGCTATCCTAACTATGCTTGCTGCTATTCTGAATAGTCCGGTTGTCGATGTATTAAACCACTTTCTCAGGTTTTGAAGCCAAGATATTCTTCTTCTCCCTGGTCCTCACTTTCCAAATATTGCCCTGAAGAATGAGTTGCAACAAGCCGTATCTCTGTTCATTCCTCATAACATGGCCAAGATATTCTAGTTTGCGCTCTTTGATGGTGTTAATAATCTCGCATTTCTTGTCTATTCTACGTAGGACCTCAACATTAGTCACACGATCCACCCATGAAATTTTTAAAATACGTCTGTTACACCACATCTCGAATGCCTCGAGTTTTCTTAAAGAAGCTTCGGAAAGTGTCCAGGCCTCTACTCCGTATAATAACTTAGAAAGTACATAGCATCTAATGAGAGATATTATAAAGTGGTAAATCATGACTTCTGAAAAGAGACTTCACCATTATGAACGCTGATCTCGCTTTTCCTATGCGTTGTTTTACTTCACTCGAGTGATCCCATTGTCAATTGGATGTTGGTTAACCAAAAGCTGTGTATTTAATATTTCGCGCTTACTGACTACAATGTACTTTGTTTTCTTCGTATTAAGATCAAGTCCGTGTTCTCTACTTATATCTGATATACGCGACAATATTCTTTGCAAACCGTCCAGACTATCTGCAAAAACTACTGCGTCGTCAACATATCTAATGTTGTTTAGACGCATTCCATTGACTAATACGCCTTCTTGTAGTTCTCCCAGAGCTTGCTCGAAGATATATTTAGAGTATATATTAAATAACACCGGGGACAGAATGCATCCTTGCCTCACTCCTCTATCTATGGCTGTAATATTGGCTCTATAATATTGGCTGTTTGATTGTAATATAAATTATAGATGATTCTCAAGTCCCTATCATCTAACCCCACTTCTTTCAAGATGTTTATAAGTTTATCATGTTTTACTCTATCAAATGCCTTTTTGTAGTCGATAAAACAAATATGCACATCACAGTTAACATCCCTGCACCTTTGCATAAGCACTTGGACAGCGAATACAGCCTCTCTGGTGCCTAAGGAATCGCGGAATCCAAACTGCGTCCATGATACTTGTTCTTCGCATTTTTTATATATTCTGCCATGTATCACTCTCAAGAACGTTTTAAGTAAGTGGCTCATTAGGCTAATTGTTCCGTAGTCTTCGCATGTCGTGGCATGGCCACGAAGGTCGACTTTAACCAGCTTTGGGGTATTTTTCCAGTTACGTATATGTTGTTGAATACAGTTGTTATACCTCTCTCTGCCGACTTTATTTTTTGCTCCATGTCTAGACCAATGTATCTCGTATAATTTCAAAAAATAGAACGAATAAATTTATCAAATAAAACAAAATCAATGAACATATTAGCACACTGCTTAGACAAACGTTTGCCAATATACTGCCTGAACAACCGAATAAAAATAAAATTGTCAGTTTGGATCACGTGCTTCATGTTTCAGCATTCTTATGGGCTTCGTGGATCAGGCGAGTTTTGACACGTAAGATGCAGTGGATAAGGCGAGTTTTGCACTGACAGCAATGTTTTGCCGTTGAATATTAATGGGATAAAGCAACATTTGTTACGGAAATATTACTGTAAGAGGAGCATATCGTCCTTAAGAATACTTTACCATATTAACCTCATTTTTCGTAAAATTTCGATAAGTCGAGTTTTGCTATGAGACTCCCCATGTCTAAAAAAGTGATATTGAGAATTGAAAAGAAAAAGCATTAGAAGATGAACTAGGGGATTCAGCCACATAGGTATAGGGAAAACAATGCGAGAGAGAGAGAGATAAGTTCCTTCGTTACATGTGTAAGAGTGAGAACGATATATTTTTGTTAACTTCACATTACGTTGAGGGAATCTACATTACCGACTGTCGTAGTTTAACTTTTATCCGCTAGTCGTTACCAGTCATCCGCCATTTTTAAATTCACATTATTTAGCTGTCAAACCATTTTCTTTTTGTTTGTTAATTCTTCTTTTCCTTCTGTCAAATCTTATTCTTTTCCTTCAATGGAGGGAAGTGGTTAATAAATTTATTGAAAGGATATAAGAAATCTTAAATGTATTTCATATAATTCAAACAAAATCTAAATGGTAATTGTAAAGGAAAATATAAACTTTTCAGCCCTAAGCTTTGAAGGCCTGTTGAACTTTATTACTAAATAAATAGATCACTATAGAAAGAGTCTTAATGAGGGAAATCTTATATCTTTTTTTCTTTAATCTGTAGCTAACTGCATACCTTAGAAAAAGTGTTTTATATATATATATATATATATATATATATATATATATATATATATATATATATATATATATATATATATATATGCATTTGTTGAGTATGTAGAAAAATATAATAAATATTAGCTATAAATCATATACGAACGGTGTTTTCGCAAAATTTTAGTACAAAATACTTTTATTGATAACTTCTTACAAGAAGTTGTTTTCATACATATGTAAAACCAAGTCTAAACATTTTTGTTTAATTTTTTCACTATTTTCATTTGGAACTTTTTCTTGGTCGTCGTTTGTGTTACTCATTTGCGCCATTTCTTCTTGATCCATATCCTCTGATAATTTGGTACGGATTAAAGACAGACCCAATATGAAACCGAATTTGCTATACTCCTTCCACTCGGTTTTCAAATTCTCAAAAGATATGAAATCCTTACAATCAAATCTGGAACAAGTGTCAGCTAAGCTGTCGTGATAAATTCGCAGGTAACGATCGAAGTCGTCGAATATTTCTTTCGTTCCACCTGCGTACAAACAATATGATAAATCATTCACTACTGTGCTGACATTGGACATTTGGAAATCGATCAGTTTCAGGTCTTCTAATTTTCTGGAGTCCTAAAATTAGTAAAAAATAGACATTAAAGAGTATTAAATACATAGGAACAGTATACGATTATCCATTTATCCGTTTCATTAAAACTACATCACCATTTATCAGCCACAAAATAGAAAAAGCAAATATGACCTTAAAAACTGAAAATTCTAGTGTTAGAAAAGAGTGGATAAAAAGGTTGAAACTCTTAAATATGAGGCATCATATCCCTATATCAAAAAAAATATATACAAAAGGAATAAGAGTAGTATCTATCTATAGCCCCGAGGACTGCAAACCTAAGGAAAAACTAGAGGCATTCTACAAACAATTTCAAACCATCCTGGATGAAATACCTCATGAAGAACCCTTTATTCTTATGGGCGACTTTACTGCACGAATCTAAAATGGAATAGTTCCAGGAGTAAAACAAAGATTTAATGAAAACCGTGTCAACGCAAATGGATAACTTATGGGTAATCTCTAATGAACTGAGAATCAATCATACATTTTTCGACCTTAGCTCAAGTATAAATATACATTTGAAAATTTCTGGGGGCACAAATCTATGATTGATTTTATAGTCACTAATAGAAAAATCCATATAAAAAAGATTCTAGATATCCGAACTTTAAACTCAGCAGACGCATTGAAGAAACAGCAACAGAAGCTCTTGAAAAACGCAAAATCATACTACTGAACGAAAGAAATAAGAACAATACACCATGGTTCAGAAAAAAAAAATAAAAGAGAAATGTAAAGAGAAATGAGAGGCCTACACAAAGTACGAAACATCAAGTACTCCAGAATCCCGAGACACCTATAGAAGAATACGAAATGAAACAAAGCAGTTGGTAAGAAGAACAAAAAATGAACACTGGGAACAGTTTACAAAAAGGATGGAAAGCGACTTCTATGGTACACAGAAACAAATATGGATATTCATAAGAAACCAACGGAAAGAAATGGCAGAATTGAAGGAATACAATAACATACCAACAAACGAATGGGAAAGATACTTGACGGAACTGTTTAAAGGAAAGGAAAATAATAATCAACACAATAATGTACGTGAATTAAGACACGAAATAGAAATTAGTTTTCAGGAAGTAGAGATAGCCATAAATTTACTCAAAAATAGAAAGTCACCAGGACCAGATGAAATAACCAGAGCTTCTAAAACACGGAGAAGAAAGTATAATCCTACAGCATAATGATACTAATGTTCAAGAAAGGAGATAAAGAGGACCCCAACAATTATAGAGGTATAAATCTACTGGACACCGCACTTAAGTTTACCACAAAAGTCCTAACCAACAAAGTCAATAAACTAACAACTTTATCATTGAACAATAAGGATTCAGATCCCAAAGATCCTGCGTAGACGCCGTATTTGTACTAAGACAATTCACAGAAAAGGCCATCGAGTACAATAAACCAGCATATCCATGTTTTATAGACTTGACACAGGCTTTCGATCGCATCCAAGTCGAAGACGTCTTACATCTACTGTATAAAAGAAACGTACCAATCAATATTATACAAACCATCGAAAACATCTACTTACATAATCGAACACAGGCAAAGATAAATGGAAAACTAACACAGTGTATAACACAGTGTATACAAAGCGGAGCGAGACAGGGTGACTCGTTAAGCCCACTTCTCTCAAAGATTAACACATTTCTTCAATACAACAGCCAATAAATTGGATATGATAATATCAGCAGAAAAAACCAAATCTATGATAACATCTAAATACCCACTACCATGTAAAATCAAATTTGATGGGAAAATAAT